TCAAATTTCTTGGGGATTGTGGTCCAAACTTGATCAAATGATACATATGAGTTTATAATGTTGATATGGATAAAAAATTATGAGGTTTGACTGTAAATTGGTCATGGTTGACTTTCCCCCCAATACAGTTGATTTTTAGGTCAACTGCTCAATTGACTGAGCAAAAATGTGATCCAAGGCTTAAAACTGGACATGAGAAATCTTGGGGGTCCATGATGATCCATGAAAGTCATATGGGACATTAGAAGTTCCAAAATCCCTGTGCAACCTTAAACCCTAATTTTGGTCATTAGTGCTCAAGGAGGTGTCTTGAGCTGATCAAACCCTAGTGCAGTCTTGAGCCCAAGGAGATCTTGTGAGCAAATTCTTGATAAGTGAGAGGGAAATTTTTGGAGTATAACATACGACATTAGGGCATCATTACTCATATCTAAATCATTGATCTTCATCATACAACGATATATACATTCAAATCATAAACAAGACAGCTTTTCACATCTAATCCCACATACTACTCATCATAAACCCTATTATAGAGTCAGAACCCCACCCTTACCTTAGATTAAAAGTTTCTCTACGACTTTTCCGATTGAATTATGTTCTGGCTCTTCTCCTTCTTTTCTGCAACTTTCACGTTCTCTTTCTCTTCTTCCAACCCTTATTTTCTTTCTCTTCTTACTGCTACTTCTTTTCCATATTAATTCTAAATAACTAATATAATAACCTTATAATTCCCATTATGTCTTAATGGGCTTAAAACTCCTACACCCCCTTTCTACTACTTCTAGTCCTTAAAATAAGTCCACATAAAATAATATTATCATTCTAATATTATTCCACAACTTAATAGAATAAATAAATCCAATAACAACAACACGTTGACTATCATCATAACACAACTTCACAAATATTCCAAAAATAATTTAATTAAATAATTAATTAAATTACGGGTGTTACACCCGCAACCAGCCCCCTCCCCGGAACCAACGACTAGTTACAAGCACATCTTCCTGGTTTGACCAAGTCCTGACAGTTACCTGATTTCCCGGACCTGCATATCTAGGCGGGAAATCAGGAACCAATGGCCACGCGCCAGAGGCGTTATATAAACCCTTACACCTGTGAGGGCCATGTATCACATTTTCACTACTCACTACCTGATATTTTGCTAGTACCTTCTTGCTCCCACACTTACTTGATCGTTATAGTACCTTGCAGGTACAATCCACTTTCTCCTCAGCCCGACTGAAGATCATCCTCCAGCCACTCTCCAGATTCTGATCAATCGCAAGATCAAATATAATATCACTTATAAATCATAAGGATAAAAAGTATTATTAATAAAATATTTCTCCTCCACTCGCGAACCAATCATATTTTTAATCAAAATATCTGACTTCACCTCCCCCTCTTCTCTTTTGAACCAATCATATATATATATATATATATATATATATATATATATATATATATATATATATATATATATATATATATATATATATATATATATATATATATATATATATATATATATAATTAAAAAAAAATCTCCGCTTTCCTCCCTTGATTAAAATCATTTGAACCGGACAGATCCTTATAGATAGCCAAAAGTTAAGAGTTTGGAGATTTTTGTCTTCTTTTTCCTTGGCAAAGACTATCATACTCATACATATAATAATTGAATCCAACTGGCCCCAGCACATACATGGATAATGGTTAAAATGAAGCGATTGTTTTGATGTTATTATAAAGCCAAATTCACTTTCTCTTACTAACCAAAAATAGTGTTATAGATGATGAAACTTTTTCATTTTCTTGAGGGTACATATAAATCTTCTATGGAAGCATAAGAAGGGAAATTGGTCCCCACCACTGAACAATAACATAACGTAACCACCGCCTAATGGAGTACGGAGTATTTTGCTTTTCACCTTTTTCTGATTCATCAATCGAAAGCGTTGATATCTTTCAGCGCATGCTGCAATGGATTTCTCCTTTTTCACACGGAACTTCCACTTAACTAACAACACACGGCACCACATTATAAACAAGAATCATTTTAGATATTTCAGAAAAATATTATTTCAGATATTTTATTATATAACTTTTTCTAAGTACATAAAAATATTATTTTATGAATATTTAAAAAGGATAAAATTTAGATTTAATTTTTTAAGTGTGATTTTTATTATTTTTCAATAAAAATATTATCAATGTATAATTTTTTCTTACACATATAATTTTATTTTATTTTTCACTATTTAAATAATATTTAAATATATTTATTATATTTTTATTAAAAAATAATAAAAATTACACTTAAAAAATTATATTTAAGTTTCATTCTTTAAAAAAATCCATCAAAAAAATTATTTTATGAATATTGTTTTACTTGAAAATATATATTCATCATTTTTCTACTTTTTAAAAGTATTTTATAAAATATTTATTCATACCAATATTATCATCTTACTTAGTTTTAAATAAATTATTATAAAATATCATTTTAAATATCTTATTTTTTTATATTAAAATTTTAAAATATTACTTAAATTTAAAGTTATTTTAAATATATATATTAAAAAATCTTTAGTCACCATGGAACATAAGTGAAATTCATTATACTTGTATTAGGTGATTGTTCGTTGGTTTTTGCTATTTATATTAATGTGATTAAGTTAGATATGTGAGATGTTTTCTTACTAGTAATATTAAGGAGTGGGTGAACACTAATTTATTATTGAAATATTAGTGGTGATTTATCGTGGTCGAAACTTTGAGCAACCTTTTGTCATGTGCTTTAGATGGATTAAGGAAGGATAAGGAAAAACACGATGAGAATTATGTGAGATCTAAAATTTTGTGGCGACGTATTACTAAAGTTGTTCAAAGTATTTTTTGACAACGAAAGTTCATGATAGCAAGATCGATTTGACTCGAGAGGCTAAGCAAATGAGATGGTCTTCTTTTCTTTAAGGTTAAGCGAAATTGAACACAAATGAAGTTTGTAAGAATGACTTGATAGTTGGATGAGATGGTTTTTTAAGAAGTTGAATGAATGAGTAGCTTGGAGACTTTGTAAGATATTTGAGTTTTTGTAGTGATATATTGTTGAGTTTTATGGTGTGCTAAAAGGATTAAGATTAACAAAAGAGTTTGAATTTTGAGTTATCGAGCTTCATATAGATTCTAAAATGGTTGCTTAAATATTTTAAATTTTGGACAGGATAGTGTAATTGAAATGTAACTTGCTCAAACTGGATTGATAGGTGTGTAATTGTCATATTTATTGTGATTCAAACATTTGTGCAAATATAATGTCAATATAGAGTGTGATCTAGATCCTACTTTGATGTTTTATGAATGAGTTTCTGTTCAAATTTTTATTTTTTGTTCTTTTGTTAGTTGATTGTATTAAAATCTTTATTTTTAGATTGATTGATATATAATCTTTTCTCTTTGAATTTGTTTAAAAAAAAAAAAAACTTTAGTAATGTCCCCATTCTCCCTCGACTAAGATAATACAATATTTCTATATTGAGCGTTATCATAAGAGTTTAAATCATGAACAAGACTCCCTTGACTTTTTATAGATCTAGGATAAAGAATAAAAATGGCTCGCTAATAAAAAATTGAGCAACTAATCTTGAATTGTGATTTTTCTTTTTTTTGATTAAATTTCTATATTAAAGGTTAATGAATAAGAAATGATTATATATAAATATAAAAGCGCATACGAACAAAAAAATTTAATTAGTTTAGTTGGTCATGGTATAACTTGCATCTTAAAATATTTAATAATTTTATGATTTTTTTTTAAAATTATTTTCAATTATCTTTTTATAAATTAAAAAATAGTTTTAAGATCTAATTATTTAAACATTTATATTAAAATTTTTAATATAATCAAAATCACATAATTTTCTCAAAACGATATAATTAAAAAATAATTTTTTATTTAAAATAACATTGAATTTAAGTGATATTTTAAAATTTAAATAAACTATATTTTATTTATTATAGGATCATAAAATTTTTAAAAAGTAATTTTAAGTAATTTGTAAAAAATTTAAATTGTTATGTAGGTTAATTTATAATTTTAAAATGACATTAAGTTTGTTGAGGAATTAAAACAATTAAATAGTTAAAAAACCAATATCAGTAATTTTAAGTAATTTATAAAAAAATTAAATTATTATATAAGTTAATTTGTGATTTTAAAATGAGATCAAATTTATAATTTTTATAAAATTAATTTTGTTATGAAATTAAAACAATTGAATTATAAAAAAATAAAAAACCAATGTGAATATCAAATCCAATACATGACACTCTAACCTTCATTCCCAAACCATAATCACATGTGCTGGACCATTTATCCGCTTTGAAATAATAATGTAATATATTATATTTAATATATTTTTATTTAATTTACAAAATCCATTAATTAAAATTTTGAAGTCAATTTTTTTGAAATCCTAAATTATGGATTTGTTTGTCCTGACCTAATAATCATGAATTTCATGATTGTGTGTATGATTATTATCACTTCATCTGCATATAAAAATAATAGTCAAAATTTAAATTAATGAATGTTAACAATACTTTTTTAATTTATAAATAATAAAATTTAAAATAACTTTTAATATTTAAAAAAAGTTCTCATAAAGTTTTTTGTACATAGGGATGTGTACATTTATATTACTACTATTATATAAGATAGGACATAGGAAGAAGATAGAGTTTCTCTCTCTCTCTCTCCATTGTTTTACAATCTCACACGCTTCCCATACTCACCACGCCATCATCGTTGGCGATCACTTCTCAGTTCTCTCTCCCTCTTTCTCGGTGGGTGAACCTTGATCAACAACTAAGTTACCATTGATAACAACCTCCTCGCCTCCAAAATCTCCACAACAACTAATTTAGTAATCACCATCTGCTTTATTCTATTCTATTCGATTCGATTCATTTCCCATATTCTGTAATGCTCAACAATGCCTATACCTCAATTTCTCCATCAAATCTCTTCTTTAATAGTAACCTCTTTTTCACAATCATCGCTTCTCCGATTATCCGTATTAGAACTTGCTGCAATATGTGTGAATCTCACTCTTGTTCTCTTGTTCCTCTTTGTTGTCTCGGTTAAAAAGATTCTCGTCAATAAGCGAAATCGAATAGGTAAACACAACACTACGGGAACCGATAGTCTTGTTATTGATACAGAAACAACGAGTCATGTTTCTAATATAACTGTTTGGTTCAAGTTAACTGTGTTGTCTTGTTTCTATGTTTTGGTTGTGCAAGTTTTAGTGTTGGGATTTCACTTGTGTGTTTTTATATGGGGTGAGACTCTACGCTGGTCGCTTCTTTTTGTGTCGGCTTCACAGGTTTTGGCTTGGTCTGTTTTGAGCTTCTCGGCTTTGAATAGCAAGTTTAAGGGGTTAGAGAAGTTTCCATTTTTGTTAAGAGTTTGGTGGCTTTTATCATTTGTTATTTGCTTGTGTGGTTTATATCTTGATGGAAGAGGGTTTTCGGTGGAGGGTTCTAAGTATTTTTCTTCTCGTGCTGTTGCGAATTTTGCTGTTACACCAGGACTTGCTTTTTTAGGTGTGGTTGCTGTTAGGGGTGTTACTGGTATACAAGTTTGTAAAAACTCTGATCTTCAAGAGCCATTGCTTGTTGTTCAAGAAGAAGAAGAACTAGGGTGTCTTAAAGTTACTCCGTATTGGGATGCGGGACTTTTTAGCTTAGCCACACTTTTTTGGCTGAATCCACTTCTTTCCCTTGGTGCAAAGAGACCACTTGAGCTTAAGGATATTCCACTTGTTGCACCGACTGAAAGAGCTAAGACGAGTTACAAGGTTGTGAATTCTAATTGGGAGAAATTGAAGGCTGAAAATCAAAATCAGAATCTATCTAAGCAACCTTCATTAGCTTCGGCACTTCTCAAGTCATTTTGGAAGGAAGCAGCTTTGAATGCTGTATTTGCTGGCATGACTACTTTGGTTTCGTATGTAGGTCCATACATGATAAGTTACTTTGTTGATTTCTTGGGTGGTATAGAGACTTTTGCTCACGAGGGTTATATCCTTGCTGGTATATTCTTTATGGCGAAGCTTGTAGAGACGCTGACAACTAGGCAGTGGTATCTAGGAGTGGACATATTAGGTATGCATGTTAGGTCAGCGCTAACTGCAATGGTGTATAGGAAGGGACTCAGACTCTCGAGCTCGGCGAAGCAAAGTCATACAAGTGGGGAGATTGTTAACTACATGGCGGTTGATGTTCAGAGGGTAGGGGATTTTGCTTGGTACCTTCATGACATGTGGATGCTACCTCTGCAAATTGCTCTTGCTCTTGTAATTTTGTATAAGAATGTTGGAATTGCTTTTGTTGCAACATTGATTGCTACAATCATTTCCATTGTTGTCACTATTCCTGTGGCTAGGATACAAGAAGATTATCAAGACAAGTTGATGTCTGCTAAGGATGAAAGGATGAGAAAAACATCCGAGTGTCTGAGAAATATGAGGATTCTTAAGCTGCAAGCTTGGGAGGATCGATATAGAATAAGATTGGAGGAAATGCGTGGAGTAGAGTACAATTGGCTAAGGAAAGCACTTTATTCTCAGGCTTTCATAACTTTCATTTTTTGGAGCTCCCCTATATTTGTTTCGGCAGTCACATTTGCTACTACCATATTTTTAGGAACTCAGTTGACTGCAGGTGGTGTTCTATCTGCTTTAGCTACTTTCAGGATTCTCCAAGAACCTCTCAGAAATTTTCCTGATTTGGTATCAACCATGGCTCAGACAAAGGTTTCTCTTGATCGCATATCCAATTTCCTGCAGGATGAAGAATTGCGGGAAGATGCAACTATTGTCTTGCCGCCCGGGACTTCTAACATTGCCATAGAAATTATGGATGGTGTCTTCTGCTGGGACACTTCTTCCTCTAGGCCTACACTAACGGGAATACATGTGAAAGTCGAGAGGGGAATGAGTGTAGCTGTTTGTGGCACTGTTGGTTCAGGGAAATCAAGTTTTCTTTCTTGCATACTTGGAGAGATTCCCAAGCTTTCTGGTGAAGTACGTTGTTGTTGTTCATGATGATAGAATTCCATCTAAACTGTTTTTATATTTTTCTTTGCCATATGAAAATACAATACTATTTTTGTTTATATAAGTTTTATCATGTTGAAACTGATTTATTTTGCAGGTAAGACTGTGTGGTTCTGCCGCATATGTTTCACAATCAGCATGGATACAGTCAGGAAATGTAGAAGAAAATATTTTGTTTGGGAACCCAATGGATAAAGCAAAGTACAAGAATGTTATTCACGCTTGTTCACTAAAAAAGGACCTAGAGCTTTTCTCACATGGAGACCAAACAATTATTGGTGAAAGAGGTATAAATATGAGCGGTGGCCAGAAGCAACGGATTCAGCTTGCACGAGCACTTTACCAAGATGCTGATATTTATCTCCTTGATGATCCCTTTAGTGCACTTGATGCCCACACTGGATCAGAACTATTCAGAGTTAGTTTTTCTTAAGAACAAAAGACAGTGTTTAAATTAATTGGATCTGATTGTTTTTCTTACTCTATAACATGTAATGTAACTGCAGGAGTATGTATTGACAGAACTAGTAGATAAAACTGTCATTTTTGTGACCCACCAAGTTGAATTTCTTCCAGCTGCTGATATGATACTGGTATGACTATATGCTTTTGTCTTCCACATCTTTTTCATTGTGTATCAAGAGTCCTAGTTGGTTTTTATACTTCATTTCAGGTGTTCTATTTTTTCTTCTGAACTATTTAAATTCCGTGGCAACTCTTTTGCATTTGAGAGTTATGTATTCCCTGCATATGATCAGGGGTTGCTGTTGCTCTCAACTGTATAAGTGTGATGCATTGTTTCTCCCCACATATCCTTGTTGGGTTCTTAATTCTTTCTCTTTACATTATGATGATCTGGGTTCAAGTTCATTAGGTTATCAAGTTTATAGTTGACTTTTGGGCACAGGCTCAGGAGTGAAGCCCGATATTGTTCTGTTCTATAGCAGCTTCCTCCTGAGAGAAACTCGTTACTCGTATCAGTTGACCATTATGGTAATTTAATGTATTGCTGATGCTTTAAATCACTATTATTAATTTTTTTTTTTGACTGCATTCTTTTGTTTCAACATTGATCCCTAGTTAGTTTCTTTGGTTGCCAACATGTCTTATTTATCTTTGTCTATAATGATGTGTAATTCTTTCAAAGACTAGGAAGAGTCCTTTTATCATCTTAGATCTTTAAAATGTGGTTGGTATCAAGTGAAAATAGTTTTCTCAATTTTTTTCCTTCCAATTTTGAAGGTTCTTAAAGAAGGCCAGATCATACAGGCAGGAAAGTATGATGATCTTCTACAGGCAGGAACAGATTTTAGAACTCTAGTTTCAGCTCACCATGAAGCAATAGAGGCTATGGACATTCCTAATCACTCTTCCTCAGAAGATTCAGATGAAGATGAGTCCTTGGATACATCTATTATGACCATGAAGAAATCTATTTCTTCTGTTAATGACATTAACAGTTTGGCGAAGGAAGTTACCGAGGGATCTTCAGATTCTAAAGAAATTAAGGAAAAGAAGAAGGCAAAACGCTCGAGAAAAAAACAGCTTGTCCAGGAAGAGGAGAGGGTTAGAGGTAGAATCAACATGAAAATGTACCTGTCTTACATGTCTGCCGCATATAAAGGCTTATTGATTCCCCTCATCGTCATTGCACAAACACTGTTCCAGTTCCTTCAGATTGCCAGCAATTGGTGGATGGCTTGGGCAAATCCTCAGACAGAAGGAGACGAGCCCAAAGTAACTCCCATGAATCTTCTTCTTGTTTACATGGCTCTTGCCTTTGGAAGCTCGTGCTTCATATTCGTAAGGGCCGTTCTTGTTGCTACATTCGGTCTAGCAGCAGCGCAGAAGCTATTTTTTAACATGCTTAGAAGTATCTTCCATGCTCCAATGTCTTTCTTTGATTCTACACCAGCTGGAAGGATCCTGAACCGTGTAAGTTTTCTTATTTTCCCCCTCCTCTTTTGTTTCTGTCTTTCTATACGTCATATAATGGATTATCTTTATTCTCAGGTTTCAATTGATCAAAGTGTTGTGGACCTTGACATTCCTTTTAGACTTGGAGGGTTTGCTTCATCAACAATACAGCTTATTGGTATTGTTGCTGTGATGTCACAGGTTACATGGCAAGTTTTGCTCCTAGTTGTCCCAATGGCAATTGGTTGTTTATCGATGCAGGTAATTATAAAATTTCCAGCATAAATTTCTGTGATATAGAAAAGATAGAAGCTAACTAGAAAGAATACATTTCTGGAAACATTGGAATTTTTGTAGAATTTTCAAATATATTCAATCTTGTTTTTTTAAATGCATTTTCAAAGACTTCTTTAATGCCTTCTCCGATCTTTATTTTATCAGTGAAAATGGAAACAAGAAACATCAGAAGTAAACAGGCCCTACATATTTCAATATTCTTTTCAAAAAGATTTACTATTTCTTAAGCCAAAAATCAAGACATGGAGGATAAAATAAGCCCCCTTTATTATAAAGTATATATTCATCATATTTTCCTATTTAGGAAAAATTATTCAAAGGGGAAAGAGAAGATGTATTAACTAAGGACTAGAAATCTTCCATTAATATGTTCCATCTTGTGTTTTCTTAAGCCCCCAGTAAGGTGACTTTATATTTTGATGGTCAATTAATTCATTGCAGAAATACTACATTGCTTCCTCAAGGGAACTGGTACGTATTGTAAGCATCCAGAAATCTCCAATTATACAACTTTTTGGTGAATCGATTGCTGGAGCAGCCACAATCAGAGGTTTTGGACAAGAAAAAAGGTTCTTGAAGAGGAACCTCTATCTTCTGGATTGTTTTGCGCGACCATTCTTCTGCAGTCTTGCTGCTATTGAGTGGCTTTGCCTGCGCATGGAATTACTTTCAACTTGTGTATTTGCTTTCTGCATGTTCTCACTTGTGACCTTTCCCCGTGGAAGTATTGACCCCAGTAAGTTTTTTTCTTCTGATTAATTCCCTATTTTCACACTTGGCTAATCCTGGAGGATTATGCTATTTAGTATATTTTGTCCAACAAAATTATGTTGTGCATTAGAAGTTGTTACTAGAAAATGATTCCTATGGTGTCTTTACTATTTTGATTCTGCCTTTCACATATGTTGTGCATTAGAAATTGTTACTAGAAAATGAGAAATTACTTTTCTGCTTTGGTGAAGGAGTTAAATTTGAAACAATATTTTGTTGCTAATCACAGTTACTTTTCTGCTTAGGCATGGCTGGACTTGCTGTGACGTATGGCCTGAATTTAAATGGACGCTTGTCTCGTTGGATACTTAGCTTTTGTAAACTTGAAAACAAAATAATATCTATTGAAAGAATCTATCAGTACAGTCAAATTCCTAATGAAGCACCACAAGTTATTGAAGAATCTCGCCCTCCATCCTCATGGCCCGAGAATGGGACAATCCAACTATTTGATCTGAAGGTACCATCTCAGTTTTGAATTAAATCTACTTTGTTCTTTGTTTAGCACAGAGTAGTCCATGCGCACTTAATTTCAATTTTAGTCATTTTATTTTTTATTCATATCTTTACTTTTTTAGAGAGAAAAGGGAAGAATATTATGTTTTAATGCTGTTGCACAACATTAGAGTCTAATCCAAACTCTTAGTAATGTGTCTTGCATCTAAATATTTATTATGATTTTTCTACTACAATTAGCTCTTTTTGGTGATGATCCACCTCATTTCCCCTCTACTGTCTCTCTTGAAGGTTCGTTACAAAGAAAATCTTCCCTTGGTGCTTCATGGAGTATCCTGCATATTTCCTGGAGGAAAGAAGATTGGAATAGTTGGACGAACTGGCAGTGGCAAATCTACTCTGATTCAAGCATTATTTCGATTGGTTGAACCAGCAAACGGGAGTATCCTTATAGACAACATTGATATCTCAGGAATTGGCCTTCATGATCTTAGGACCCATTTGAGTATCATACCACAAGATCCGACCTTATTTGAGGGCACCATTCGTGGCAATCTGGATCCTCTTGAAGAGCATTCTGATAAAGAGATTTGGGAGGTTAGTATAGTAATACTATTTAGATAGTCTAATTTAAATAATTGTGTGGAATTTGTGTAATTGTTAGCTTGGTAATGTTGCTTTACTGTTAGACGGTTGATTACTTTCCAAATCCATTATATATTTTCAGTTGTCTATATCTAATAGTATAAGAGAGTGATTGAATAGGCCTTGTTATTTGAAAATTAGGGTTATCTTAAGTAGTAGGTGATTGTTCTCTTTTTGATTCCTTTAAATTCAACATTCTCTCAGGCACTAGATAAGTCTCAGCTTGGAGATATCATCCGTGCAAAAGGAGAAAAGCTCGATACACCAGGTAAGAAGCCCCTAAAAACTGGAATTTTCCCTATATCTTTTCTTCACCAACCCAAAAAAGAAATAGGGAAGGTATAATATTTTGAGCCACATGTGAAAATATATATGATTTGTTTCAAATATGCAGTGCTAGAAAATGGTGATAATTGGAGTGTAGGACAACGGCAACTTGTTTCTCTTGGCCGAGCTCTGCTGAAGCAGTCAAAGATACTTGTACTTGATGAAGCAACAGCATCTGTTGATACTGCTACTGATAATCTTATCCAGAAGGTTATCCGAGAAGAGTTCAAAGACTGCACTGTTTGCACTATTGCACATCGTATTCCCACTGTTATTGACAGTGATCTTGTCCTGGTACTCAGCGATGGTATGTATTGGTGCATGCTATTCTCATGGATCTAATCTATATATAATTCTTTTCTCTATCTCCTGATTTGACGCACAACTTGAAAAGGAAATAAAGTTCAAATGTGTTTTTAAGTTGAGTAGTTGAGACTACTATATGCTCTCGACGTTAACTTTTGGCATATTTTTCAGGTCTAGTTGCAGAGTTTGACACTCCAGCGCGGCTATTAGAAGACAAGTCATCCATGTTTTTGAAGTTGGTGACTGAATATTCATCGCGATCAAATGGCACGGATCTTTAAGCAAGTTGAAAACATTTCAAAACCTAAATTGAAAAGGTGATGATGCTTGAGTTGCTGCCAGTGCTGCGGGCACATGAAGAGACATAAAATGAGCAGATGGCAAACGTCGATCAATCACTCCCATGAGAGTTTCTTGTTTGAAAGAAATATTGAGGAGTTCGTGATTGGATGACATGATTTACTACAAGAAAAAAAGAAAGAGGAAGGTAGATTTACCATGGGGGTGTCTGAATTTTGTTCAATCATGTGTAATAAATTAGCTTTGACATTGAGGTAGTTAGATTTTTGCTTAGAGAAGTGTAGCGTAGGAACTACTCTTGTGTATTCCACAGTTTTCTTATTAATGTCTTCTATTTTCCCATGTTTTTGGACTATCTAGTTTTTACTACTATTTAAACCATCTCTAAGCAGGAGATTCAATTTCCTCTAATAGAGTAGAGTTTTTGGACTATCTAGTTGTTGTTTTAGACCATCTCTACTAAGGGTCAAACTTAATTATAACATCAAAAAGATAGGTAGTGTCAAAGGTTAAAATTAGAAATCTATAAATGGCTAGTTTGTTTTAATTTTTTTTTTGTTAAAAAATTGATATTTAGTGTTAAAAAAAATTTGTTGAAAAAAAAATACTATAAAAAATTAATTTAAATAGTTATTTTTAAAATATTATTTAGGTATTATATTACTCAAATTTAATATTACTTTAAATAGCTTTTTTTTAAAGTTTTTTTTAAGATATATCTTTTTTAAAAAATTGTTATTTTGATTATATTTTAATCTTTAATAATATATATATTTATGTTATAGGATGTCAAAATTGATTTTTTAATTCATAAAAAACTAATTTAAAGACTTTAAGTTAAAACAAACGACCATTATGACCACTATGAAGTTAACTTCTAAAATTTACGTCTAGAACACATATTTTGTACATTTTATATGTTAATTAATTTGTGAAATGGATAGAAGTCCTAAACAAAAATGAGAGAGGATAACATAATTTAAAAATAAATAAATAAAGTATGAAATCCGCGATACTTTAGTATTTGATTTTTGTTGGAGGTATTTTGAAAGTGCAAAATATATTTTACTTTTTTTTTTTACAATTATATAATAATATTTGCATATAAAAAAAAAAGAAATTAAGTTTATCTTTACAATGTTTCTAGCCTTTTGTCCAAATTTCTTCATAATATTTTTAGCATGTTTATTTTGAGAAACAATGATATATCCTTCATTTGTTTCATTTGAAAAACAAAAAAAATAGGTAATTTCATTATTGTCCATCTCTAATTCAGTTTATATTTGTTGAACAAAATGATCTATCATTTTATTAGATATCTCTCTAAATATAGTCGATTACATAAATCTAAACTATCATGAGAGTCTCACGGTCTTTCACGATGACACCCACCATGTCATCAATACTAACATCTTTACTGTCTTACACATCATCCATATCATTGACATTGGTACTAGCATCCTGACTAACTTCCTCATCCAAATACCTATTGAGAAAAAAAATTTCACTTCCATCTAATAAAATTTAAACTTAAGGAGACATGACAATCCTAGTAATAATGACTTTAAGACGAACAATAAAAACAAAAGTTTCATCAAATTCAACCATTTTGATTCAAACATGGTCTTGTGCTATAAGTCACTTTGTTTCTAGTAACAATCTCATTCTCATTAGAATTATTCTTGTAAATTCATTTTGTCCCAATGATATTAGCAGAATTTGGTCTAGGAACAAGTTCTTATTCTTCATATCTTTCACACTGAACAAGCTCTTATGGATCTTTTCTTCGTGTCATGATGCCTTCATTTAAATCTCCTATAATGTTTTCGATTGAATGATTCTTCTTAATCATCGTTGATGGTTCTTTAATTTCAATAACATTATCTTCATGATCATTTGAATCTCCATATTCTTCAGTACATTGTTTTCTATATTGTTAGCAACACCTTACTCAACATTATGACCAATGAGATAAGAATCTTTGTCTTAGTAGTGAGTCAGTTCACTTTGATCATAGATTTTATTCATTTATTTAACCGTCAATACACCTTGTTGTTGATGGAATATCTCAAAAGGACGCCTTCATCATTCTTTGGTGCAATAGTATAGAAAATAATGCCAAATACATGAAAATATTTAACATTTGGTTTCCACCTTTTTTATAGTTCGTCATGAGTAACCTTGTTACTTGATCGAATAATTACTCGATTGTGAATATGATAAGTTGTATTTGTTACTTCTGCCCAAAATGATACAAAATATGTTTGACATGAATCATAATTATAGTCATTCCTTTCATGGTACAATTTTTTCTTTTAACAACACCATTTTGTTGAAGTGTGACGGGAGAAGAAAACTCATGAATTATTCTTCAGTGGTATATTAGATAGAGAAATTTGTTTTCAAATTCTATAACATGATCACTATAAATACAATTGATCTTACCAGTTTCTTCTCCTTTTTCACGACGTAACCACTTTCACGAACCTTCAAAGACGTTGAATGTATCAAAATTTTCATGAATGAATTCAACCGATGTTTAAAATATATATATATATATATATATATATATATATATATATATATATATATATATATATATATATATATATATATATATATATATATATATATATATATATATATATATATATATATATATATATATATATATATATATATATATATATATATATATATATATAATTTAATTTTAGTATAAATTTAATATTATTTTAGTATCAGAGTCGGGTTTTTCCTTATCTAGTCATGTATATAAATTTAATATTATTTTAGTATGAGGTAAACTCTATGGTTCTATGATGCGATTTTACATTTCGATTTTACCTAGGCAAAACTAGATAAGGAAAAACCGGACTCTGATAATCTTCCATAAAAAGGATATTTTGATATATTTATTTATGTTATAATTGATTTTAGGCATAATTAGTCACAAAGTCCCTTAACTAAATTTAATATTTCACTTTAGTCCCTTAACTAAAAAAGTTACTCCCTTCGTTTCAAATTATAAGACGCTTTGGAGAAAAAGTTTGTCTCAAATTATAAGTCACTTTACAATCTAAATGCAACATTAATGATGTTTTCCCAATATATCCTCTATCATTTATTATTATGATTTCTTCTTACAACTATTTAAATTTCTCTTTCATGTGTAATAAATGAAGGACAATATTGTAAACTCATATATAATTTCTCTTTCTCATACAAAATTAACTATTTTTCTTAATTTGTGTGAAAGGTACAAAACGTATTATAATTTGGAACGGAGGTAGTACATAGTAGTCCCTTAAAATGGTTTTGTTACTCAAATTGGTCATTGTCGTTAATTTTTCTGAAAAAACATTAACTTTGATTGTGTCATGACAACTAGGCACTATGTAAAATACTGACTCAACACATGTATAAAAAACACATTTTTTTGTTTCTAGGTTTTAATCATCATCTTTCTTTGTAACACTTTGCTGCATTTTTTTGTTTGCTGGAATTTATGTTCATCATTTTCACTCTTTCATTCGTTTTCGAGGGTTTTCACCTTTTTTTTCTTCAACATTTATCTTGTTCAAGAAGACAATTTTAAAATTGAGAATGAGGTTGTCCACACTAGAGGATGGTTGAAAATGTCCATTGTGGTTGGAATTTTAAACTTAGGGTTGAATCTTGTCATTATAAGCATGTCTTTCAAATAGGATTAGGGTTGAAATTATGTTATCAATGTACTTCAGTTGTTGTATTTGTTATGAGAATTCCATGTAACACTTTTGTTGGTTTAATGGTTATTGTAATAAGAAATAATGTGTGTTCACTATACTTTGCAATTATCAATGATACAGGCACTGATATAACACTGATACACACTAGTATAAATAAGTAATACAAATAAGAGACTAATGTGAAATATGTAATACAAATAAGGGACTAATGTGAAATATGTAATAACGTTAAGGGACCATAGTGAAATATTTATTACAGTTGAAGAACTAGATTGAAAGATTTAATAGAGTTAACAGAAATAGATATCAGTCCTTCATATCATTTGAAATTGTGTTAAATAATTTTTTCATATAATTCAAAATGGCATTACATAACATATCATTCAAATATTATTCTCGAATCTTAGAATTACATATCAATATTCTAAAATTGATTACATTCAAAATGGCATTCTAAGTCATATCATTTTCAAAGTCATTACATTCTAAAATAATACAACAAAACAACAAAAAATAAATGAGATACATAATTATGGTTGACTCATAACAGGTTTTTTGATGTCTTATTTTTTTTGGGTGGTGACTGAATTGAAGACATTGATGGTGCTTCCTGACTGGGAGGTGCTGGTGTTGGCTGAGTCGTGGGTGTAGAGTCACCTTGTACTGGCTAAGTTGTGCTAGGCTGACTTGCTTCTTGAGTAAGTGGCATTGGCAGTTTGCATGTGCCTTTGTTGTGACCATTCATATGACACCGATTGTATTTGATACCAATTTTTTCTCGATTCAGTTGTGACTCACCTCTTACCATTTCTCCAGCCTCCTTGTTCTTTTTCTTCTTCGGTCTACCAGGTTATCTTTTTATAGGTGTTGGTTGTAGATCAACTAAATTTGTTTTTGTCCTTAGAGATTTCTCATTAACTAGATATAGCTTTGGTGTATAACAAGCCTCATAACAATCCTTTTTGTAGCAGTCAGACACAAAATCATCAATTTCTAATTACTGATCCTTCATGCATGATATTGCATGACAATATAGCAGCCCTGTGATAAGTGCCCAAATGTCATTATTATTAGTAGTATTTTGTGGAACTTATTAGCTTTGTTCTTTTAGTTTTTATAGTAAAACCCCAAATTTTGTGTAAATAATAGTATAATCGTGTTTTCGTATAAATATTGTATCATTTGATAATTTTCATCTCTTTTGTAGGTATTTATTGTATGGTTGGAGAATTGAGTAATAAGAGCCAAAG